AGATAAATGGATATTGATACTACAAATGTGATAGTTCATGCCCTTTTCGAATCATATCATCTCTGCATAGAATGGATGGCCCGTCAATAAAGTGAAGTCAAGATAGTTCAATTTGTTTATTTCTTCTTCGGTTGCAGGCTTTGAAAAAGAATTCATTCGACACGTTTGGAGGAAACTTAGACGATAAGCCGTAGCGACCTTCGCCGAAACCACCCATTTCCAATACGCGGAGTTGGTCGATATGCGCCAAACCCTCCCATCAGTAATAATCGTAGTAAATAAATTATTAAATTATATTTATAATATGGGCGGAGGTATCTTTGTAATTCATGTTTCAGTTTTCTAGAAGGGTTGGCCCATCAGTTTTGAGCGAGAGGGTTCTAGGAAGCTGCGGGTATCGTTTTCCCACAGTAGTCATTTCCCAAGGATTTCCATGCCCTGGCAATAAGGAAAAATAATAGAAAAATAAAAAAATGTTACCCGGACAATGAATCCATTGTTCCGGCCTTCTTCCCTTCTTTTTTAATAGTTTTTAATAGTTTTTAGTAGTTTTTAATAGTTTTAAGCACCGGGGATGATTGCCGGATTGAAGGGTTCCCTCCGATTTCATAGTTTTTAATGACGTATCGAATCACTGCTGTAAATTCATTGCTCAGTTTTTCCTGTACAGACTGAGGCATACAACTAGTCCTCCACAGAAAAATCAGAAGAGAGAGAGAGAGAGAGAGAGCTGATATTGTTACATACATAGGCCTTCTTAGGGGATTGTGGGAGATGGCGACGCCATTGACCAGCTTACCGATCTCCTCGCCATTGACCACCTGCTCTTCTGACATGAACCTGAGGTCCAATCCCCGAAAAACCCAACTATTCCTGTGATTTCTCACAGAGTTTGCTCGAGGAAAGTAGCAAGAAAGAGCTTTAGGTCTGGACTAATGAGGCATCTAGCAAGAATTTTAAATATAAAATTTCTTCCATCATTCAGGATGAGAGAAATTAATAATAAAAAACTACATCGTTCAAATATATGTAGATAAATAAATATCAATAATCAAAATGTGATTTTTTTTAATGCATTCACTAAGATGCAAGAAGTCTAAAAACTGTAGATATTTTTTCATTAGCTTCTGGTGGGAGTGAGCTTCATGGATACATCAAGATTATATAGCAACATAGGGCCTTGACTCCAAAATGATGTCTTAGACAACCCTTAGACTCCACAATGATACAAAATACGACCTTAAATTTACAAGAGTTGATTTGAATGATCTTTGAATACACAAGGAATAAAATATAGTGATTTTAATGTGATCTTAGGGCTACAATATTGTGACCTTTAAATAGTGCAAAAATCAATTGGAATGCATTAGAAATAAACTCAAAATACATTAGAAATACGATAGTTACTAGAAACTATGGCTCTTACTCATCATTCATGCCCTTTTCTGGGCCTAATCATCTTTTTAGTACATTTTTCACTTTTCTAGATGCTATTCTACTTGAGTTATCATTATTTTGGGCCTCCAAACATTCGTTATCCACGATCTTACGTTTTAGACCTCCTTGGTAAAAATAAAATTATTTTTTTTTTTATAAAAATGATGTCCTACGTCAGCAGTTATATCTCCCTAAGACCCTCTTCCACATTTCTTTCTCTCAGATGGGCACATATAGAAATATTACAAAGAAAGGTTGGTGTGGAGAGAGAGGAAGAGAGAGAGAGAGAGAGAGAGATTACCGTTAGGAGCAGCGTAGTAGAAACTGCGTAACGCGGTTCTTCTGAATTGTTTTCTCAAAGAGAGAAGAGGTTCTATAGGTCACTGAAAGATATTCTATATGGGTCGCCCATTTTCTTCCTACACAATAAAGTTGACTCTCGCACCTAAATTTAAGCGAGAAATTTCCGCGAAGCACGCTAGAACTTCGTGACCAAGTTTCCCAGCCCCGTTGAATTTCTTTAGGCGGAGTATAACAACTTTCACATAGACAATATATTAAATGAACAGATGTTAAATCTAGAAAGAAGGAAAATTTAGAAATTAACTAGGCAACAAAGTGGGAGTCTATTTAGGGAGAGATCTTACGTTGAGGGTGTATCTTCGTCTATTGACCGTTGACTAATATCCTCATTAAATAAAACCGTTGATGACGACTGAATCAAAATAAAACAAGGCTTGATAAAAAAAAGAAAGATCTTCCCTCTAACTGCATCATAGGTCACCCAGATCTTATCGCGCGCTCTCCGCAGCTCATCCGGCTTCGACTGATCTTTGGGTGTGAAACGCGCGCCTTTTCACGATGCTGTCCTTCTTGCATTCTCATGGCGGCAAGGAACTAGGGTTCTACTTTAAAAGAAAAGTTTGACATGAAATCCCATTTCATCCCCACTTACTTTCACTATTTTGAAAAAATACATCATTCAGATATACGTAGACAAATGGATGTTAATGTTTAATCTGAAGGATCTTATATTGAAATAGATGGAGAATGACAAAACATAATGACAATGAATTAAAATCATACATGAATCTATAAAGGCACAAGTATGAGGATAACTTTTTGGATCAGTACAAGGGAGTCGTCTAATGACTTGCTCTAGAGAGATAGTGTCTACACATATTTATATTTATATTTAATACTTAGGAGAGAGGTCGCAATCTTAAATACTTAAACTTCAATGAATCACTTTAAGTAGGATTAATTCAATGATAGCCCTATAATATATAATTCATATATATCATTGTTCACATTTAATTTAATTCCAACAATCACTCACTTGGACAAAATATATATGATAGTTTCATATTATACATAATGACTTTATGAGCTCAAATTTTTCTTTTACAATCATTGTCAAAGATATCTCTAACAATCTCATTCATCATTATATTAATATAAAACTACAAAATTCTTGTTCATATTTTTCACATGACAAAACCCAACAATAATCACATATATCAATATAATGAATGCCATAGATCAAGTATGAATGTGTAGCATGAAAATTACATGAAATGTGACTCATACATGTATATTTCTAACTTAGTCCTCTTTGTTCTAAATAAATAACCACATTTAGAGTGAGAATAATTATAAATTTTATTCATAAATGAAATAAACAAATATATGTATATAACTATATGAACATCAAAATACAAACTCTCACTGAAATTATATATCCTCATAAGATATTATATCCATATGAGCAACATGTTCATGAAAGACTTTTGGTGGCAATCCTTTAGTAAGTAGATCTACTATCATGGAGTTCGTCTCTATATACTCAATAGACATTTAGCCACTCTAAACTCTTTGGTATGCAGAAACCACCGCTTCTACAGGGAAAGAAGAAGAATCAGTAAATATTTGGCTTTGATACCACTTATTGAATCTAAAGTATCTCGTGTTGAGATAGATGGAGAATGACAAAATATAATGAGAATAAATTAAAATCATACTTGAATGTATAAAGGCACAAATACAACGATGACCTTTTGGATTAGCATAGAAGAGTCTTCTACTCTACTGACTTGTTCTAAAGAGATGGAATGCTTTAAGAGTGACTCACCATGTGTGACCCAAGGACCATAACTCCTCATTTATGGACAAAAGGTGGTTAGCCTCTTAGTGTCTTTTTTTAATTTAGTCCATCATAAAATTAGAATAAGACCTAGTCTCCACAGATATTTATATTATGTCTATACTTATGAGATAAGTCGTAATCTCAAATACTTAAACTCTAATAAATCACTTTAAGTAGGATTAATTCAATGATAACCTTATAATATACAATTCATATATATTATTATCCACATTAAAATTAATTCTAATAATTAATACTACATATATGATAATTCATATCATTTTCATATCATATCATATCATCTTTGCATAGAATGGATGGCCCGTCAATAAAGTGAAGTCAAGATTTTTTTATTTTTTTATTTTTTCTTCGGCTGCAAGCTTTGAAAAAAAAATCATTTGCGTGTTGAGAGTAAGCTTAGGTCACAAGTCTTATCCAATACGCCTAATTGATGTCGACATGCGCCAAGCCTCCCACCAATAATAATCATATAAATAAATTATTATCATATATTTAAATTATATATTATATTTGTAATATGGGGAACGTAACCCCCTCCCTCGTAATCGTGGCTATATAACACAGAAGTAGGAGAGGATCGGGCTTCATCCCCACTGCCCATCGCCCGCCGCCCGCCGCTCCCGTCACCTCCCGCCGTTTCGATCACCCGCCCGCGTCCAGTGCCCGCTAGCGTCCCCCACATTCCGCCGCCACCATCATCGCGGCCCATCACTACTTCCGCCCTCTGCCCGTTCTGCAACTGCCGCCGCCCTACCGCCCCTTTACCTGACGAGTTCCCATTCTCGCCAATCCACCCAATCAACCAGGTCAGCCCGGTGCATGACTTGATCAACCATCGACATCTTGATCAACAGTGATGGAAATGAGCCGCGCAACTGGGTCAGTGGAATGCAATACTCGCCATTTCTTACATAAAAAGCACCCGCTCAAGTTCGAGAAAAGGAAAGCCCCATTCAAGTGTGACGGCTGCGAGGATTTAGGGTTCGACTCGTGCTATACGTGCGTAGTAGAGTCCTGTGACTTCCACCTTCATACCCACTGCTTCAAACCTGACCGCAGTCTTACCCATCGGTTCATCGAAGGATGTAGTTTCGAATGGGTGGATTCTGAGATTACACGCGACGGCAAACTGCGCAAACACTTCTGCGACGCCTGCGGGGAAGATGCGAAGGGAAGATTCTTCTACCACTCCAAGTCCCGCTGCAAGGACCTTCACCCCTCCTGTGCGAACCTACCCGAATTCCTCGTCTATGGGGAACTGCAAATGGAGCTCAAGAAGGAGATACCCTGTAAATGCAAAAGGTGCGGCTTGCAGAAGAGAGAGAGGGAGGGGACGCTTTCGTGGGGCTACGTCGCCACCAGCAACAAAAAAACCGTCGCCCTTCATATATCCTGCATGAAGGATCAGCGCAGGAAAGACTGGTGGAACGACGTGAAGCCAACGCAGGATCTCGTCGTCAGGGAAAAGAAGAGCCGTTCCGGGGGGAAGCTAGCGATCTGTGATATTGACCGAAAGGAGCTCAAGTATAAGGCTAGTAAAGCTCCTTTCCGGTGTAACGGCTGCAAGGAACTAGGGTTCCACCCCTGTTACTCGTGCGAAGAGCCCTGCACCTTCCGCCTTCATCGCCACTGCGCCGATCCCCAACCGGTTCTCGTGCACGACTTCTTCAAAGAGTGTAGATTCCAATGGGTGCAATCTGGCCGGATACCCGGTAAGCAGTACTGCGACGCCTGCGGGAAACTTGCGAAGGGCTTCTTCTACCACTGCTATGGCTGCGGCAATGACCTGCACCCCACCTGCGCGAACCTCCCCCGATTCCTTTCCTACGAGGGCCTGAAACTGGAGCTCAAGAAGAAGATACCCTTCAATTGCTGCAAGTGCGGCTGGATGAATCGGAAGAGTGGGAAGGGTTCGTGGTGCTACGTCTCCAGCTGTAAGACCGTCGCCGTTCATATATCCTGCATGAAGGATATGCTCCAGGATAACTTTCTGGAGAATAAGAGAATGGCGATGCCCGAGGTTGTCTTCACGGAAAAGAAGGGCCGTTCCGAGGGGAATCTAGCGAAGATTAAGAAGGCGTTTAAGATAGCAGTTCCGGTCGTCCTCGCCGCCGTACTCGGGGATCCAGTGACTTTCGCAGTGAGTGTAATTGCTGGCCTGCTCTCTACCTGATCTCTACCATCGCCAAAAGTCTCTTCTCGCATTGGCGTGGTTACGAAGAATGTTCAGCGTTTACAGTGGCATATTATTTATTATTATTTTTCTATTATTTTTCCTTATTGCCAGGGCATGGAAATCCTTGGGAAATGACTACTGTGGGAAAACGATACCCGCAGCTTCCTAGAACCCTCTCGCTCAAAACTGATGGGCCAACCCTTCTAGAAAACTGAAACATGAATTACAAAGATACCTCCGCCCATATTATAAATATAATTTAATAATTTATTTACTACGATTATTACTGATGGGAGGGCTTGGCGCATATCGACCAACTCCGCGTATTGGAAATGGGTGGTTTCGGCGAAGGTCGCTACGGCTTATCGTCTAAGTTTCCTCCAAACGTGTCGAATGAATTCTTTTTCAAAGCCTGCAACCGAAGAAGAAATAAACAAATTGAACTATCTTGACTTCACTTTATTGACGGGCCATCCATTCTATGCAGAGATGCTTACTGGAGCAGTGGCCGCTGATCGGGCATCAGTCTGGATCCGTAAGTTTTCCACCTTTCTAGTTCGTTCAATGACGATGTGAATGAAGTCGAGTGATCCGTAAATAGGAATGACGTATCGCATCGCCGGTCAACCTTGAACACTCTCTACCGACATACGCATCTTTCTTTCTACGGATCACTCGACGTCTGCAGAAAGAAGAAAAATTTCGATAGAAGCTGGTCGCCAAGTGGGCGTCTATTCAGGGAAAGATCTGACGTTGAGGTTGTATCTTTATCTGTTGACCGTTGACTTGGCATGGTCGATGACGGGTTGACTAAGTCTGCCCTCTTGAACTAAAGATGTTTCTTTTTCTCCGCCCTAATCACGGGATTCCACGACGACTGAATCAAAGGAAAAAAACGGCCAATAAAAGAAGAAAGACCATCCCCTAATCATGATCAGAGGTCGCCTAGATCTTATCTCGCGCTCTCCGAAGCTGGCCGCTGTTCGTTCCAACTGGCGGGGAGATGGTGGAGTGCAACGATATCCATCATTTATTCGCGGCAGCCTCCGAAAACCTAGCCGACTCGGTCAGACGATCACACCACTCCGATGATGGGGACTCCACACCGGCCGCTCTTCGTCTATACCTCTCTCTGTAAACGCTGACCGTCCCTTTCCACCATGAGAATGCAAGAAGAACGGGGTCTTGAAGGACGACAATGCTTGCAACCTTTGTCTAATAATCTCAGCGTGTTCTAGGTAGACTCTCTCTCTCTCTCTCTCTCTCTCTCTCTCTCTCACTCGCTCGATTTATTCACGGCATCCCGGCTTCGGGTGATCTTTGGGTGTGAAACGCGCGCCTTTTCACGATGCTGTCCTTCTTGCATGCTCATGGGTGCAAGGAACTAGGGTTCTACTTCAATAAAAAAGTTTGACGTGGAAGCCCATTCCACCCCCACGTACCTTCACCATTTTTGAAAAAATACATCATTCAAATATACGTAGATAAATGGATATTAATACTACAAATGTGATAGTTCATGCCCTTTTCGAATCATATCATCTCTGCATAGAATGGATGGCCCGTCAATAAAGTGAAGTCAAGATAGTTCAATTTGTTTATTTCTTCTTCGGTTGCAGGCTTTGAAAAAGAATTCATTCGACACGTTTGGAGGAAACTTAGACGATAAGCCATAGCGACCTTCGCCGAAACCACCCATTTCCAATACGCGGACTTGGTCGATATGAGCCAAACCCTCCCATCAGTAATAATCATAGTAAATAAATTATTATATTATATTTATAATATGGGCGGAGGTATCTTTGTAATTCATGTTTCAGTTTTCTAGAATGGTTGGCCCATCAGTTTTGAGCTTCTTTTTATGCTATTCTACTTTAGTTTTCATTATTTTGGGCCTCCAAACATTTGTTTTCCACGTTTTTACGTTTTAGTCCCCCTTGGTAATAATAATTAGAAAAAAAACCTTTTTTAAAAAGTGATGTCCTACATCAGCAGCCCTATCTCCCTACGACCCTTTTTCTCACTCTTCTTTCTCTCAAATGGGCTCATATTGAAAGCCCAGTGTGGGTTCGTGTGCAGACACAGAGAGAGAGAGAGACAGAGCGAGAGACACGGAAAAGTTCTTGACGCAGAGGTTCACCCTATTAATCAGGGGGGTCTTCCTGCCGTCTGAACCTGTGACACCAAGGGAAGAGAGAGAGAGAGAGAGAGAGAAGACAGACAGACAGAAGGGGGTGTGCGTGTAACCCTCGGCTCTCTCTCTTCCGTAACATATTTGTTTAGCTTACTGCGGATTTTACTATGAGTTTTGAAATTTTCTTATCATTGAAACATCTATTATTCTATTATTTATTTACTGTTTTATGATTTACTGATTGATTGATTTTACATTAAACTTACTTATTTCATTCGTCCTGTATGATTAGCTCCGCTTAACTTGCGTCTTACCCTCTCCAACTGGACCTTTTTTAAAGTCTGTTTTTGATGCCCATTCCTTAGTTTTATGCACATCAACGCAGAAAAATATATTTTATCCTGTAGGATTTTCATTGTACTTTGGTCTGAAGATAAAAGAGAGGGTGAATGTCGAAAGGCCTTTAGGTTCAGTGAGGGTGAACGGAGGAAAACTCTGCCAAACTATTGTGTCAGACGTGGTTCATCCTTAGTAGACATCTCATTGGCAAACACACCCATGTATTGATGAAATATCTTGTCCTCACCCTCGACACATTGCATAGCATGTCCATGGTTAATCCTAAAAAGTTTTTTTGCTTCATATTGAATCTTACGATTGTTTCTTGATAATGACATGACCTTTCATGCATTAATGAAAAACAACCATTTTTAAATTATTCATCAACATAAAGTTTTTCTCTTCAATGATTTCTCAGGAGCGTTTCCCTGATCCAAACTCCCTGTTCGATGAACTGCATTCCCGCGGGTTCAATGCCATATGGATGCTAGATCCTGGAATTAAACACGAACCAGGCTATTTTGTTTATGACAGTGGCTGTGAAAATGATGTTTGGATTTTAAAAGAAGATCAAAAGCCCTTTGTTGGTAAGCACACTATAGCATTCAGATCTTGTGCCATTACATCTTTAAAAATGCTAAATAATTTTTTTGTGCCATCGCTAGGGGATGTATGGCCTGGACCTTGTGTTTTTCCCGATTATACACGAGAAGAAACACGCGTATGGTGGGCAAAGCTAGTGAGGGATTTCATCCCCAATGGTGTGGATGGCATATGGAATGACATGAATGAACCTGCAGTTTTCAAAGTAAAATTTAGCTCTACGATTCATAACTTCCAGTTTTTGCGGTCACCATTCTGACAAATGATATTTATCCAGGTTGCAACAAAAACGATGCCTGAAAGCAACATTCATAGAGGAGATGCTGAACTGGGTGGTCGTCAGAATCACTCTCATTACCATAATGCAAGTTCTTACTGAATTATCTTGCACTCTTTTCCATAATGTAGATGTCACATGAGATGCAGTCCTTTTTCTAAGCTCAGTTTCACGATAGGTTTACGGTATGCTGATGGCTAGATCAACTTACGAAGGAATGAAGATGTCTTCTGGAAAAAAACGGCCATTTGTTCTCACTAGAGCCGGATTTATTGGTAGCCAAAGGTATGCTGCTACTTGGACCGGGGATAACCTAGCAAATTGGGAGCATTTACATATGAGTATATCGATGGTGCTTCAGTTGGTATGTTTTCTCCTCTTTTAATTTCTATCTATATAAATGAAATGCATAATCTAAATCATTAGCGGGACACTGACATATTTTTGATTTATCTTTTTATTTGTGAAATTTATGACCTGTCTTTCATAACCTTGTTGTGGTGGTGTGTATCTTATAATATCATATTATACAGAAATTAAAAGTTTTAAACTAGAAAAAAGTGTTCAATGCCCCCCTTAAATAGAAACATCATTTTTCTATTATATAATTACCAATTATTTGAAGTAGATTTTATATTTCTAGAGAAGTGAATTCACTGTTGGTGTTTATGCATGTATAATAATGCATAAACACCAACAGTAGACTTCTGCAATGGATACAATTATTCTAGCTGTGGTTGAGTCAGAAGGCCAGAGCTTATGAAAGTTAAACATTTATGCTATAATAATGCCTGATACTTTCTGACAACTAGGCATAGTAGACTTCTGCAATGGTAGCCTAGAATCTAAATTATTCGAATGTTTCCAGTCGTTTGCCTGATTCCGTGAGATGGTGCAATTTTTTTTGGTCAAGGAGTAGTCAGATAGGAGAGATATTGTTCTGTCATCAGACAGGTTCTGTGAGCCCAATTGGCCAATATTCTTCTATGCTTTTAGTGTGCATATTGATATCATGCCATGTAAATATTTCTTTCTGATGCCAGATATATTCTGGAGAAAAAAGCAAGCTTAATGTCGGAATCCATTTAACATGGTCATTGTGAACGGAAAAGTAATCAATTCAATAATATTGACATAGTTACTGTTGGTAGAGAGCTTGTTTTCTGATGAATGTCCTTTATTTGTCTAGTTTATTATTGATTATTATTTTTAAAATATCTTGGCTGAGAGAAGGGTGGTAGTCTCCTGATGGAGTGGGGCTCTGATGGAGCACGAACACCAGTCGAGCTCAACCTATGTCTACTGTTTCAAGTGGGGCAGAGAAATTTTTTATGCCATTCAGATGTTGAATGCACAAAGGTGTTGATTACCTCTCGTAGAAGTGTGTAAAAAGACCAAGATGTTTGAATAATGTGCTGCAGTACAAGAGAGGATACATCAATAGCTTAATTTACTTATATAGATCTCTCATTAAACATGTGGTTTTCCTGAAAAAACACATGTTTTTGTCTTTTATTTTTACATCCATTAACTTTCTTTACTATTTTTTCACTGACGTGTGTAGAAATTTTAAACAATTTATGATGTGCCAAAGTCTCCTACGAGTTCATCACTTATGTTTCTTGATGTTTCATTTTCCTGGGC